ACAGTTGGCACCTGGCCAGAGCAAAAGACACCCCTTACTGCCACTAAAGGTCTGTCTCTGCCCTGGAGAGCCTGAATCTCCCAGCAGACGTTGGCTTATTTTAAAGATCCAAACTCTTCTCTACCTATCCTGAACCTCCCAGCAAATGCTAGCTTTTTAAAGATCAAGATCTATAGAGACCTTTATTCGACCTTCAATACAGCCCAAGGACTGCTAGGGTCGTCTCATCCACAGACCTCCCACACAAGTCTCAGATTCTCACAGTCCTATCCAACCCCAAATTGCCTAGTGAGTGTGTTCTTACTTGACTAGAACTACCGGTACTTACCCCTAGGTCTGCACACAGAGTTGCCCAGCGGTTTCTGGCAATCCCATAAAGCTGGTCCCCTTCCTTCTCTTTCCGTTTTCAACCGATCTCTATTTTAAACACAGATCTGTGTCTCGTTCCAAGCTCCTGAACAGCAGAGCTGACTGTGGACCATTGAAATCAACGGGGCATGCCTTCCTCATCCGACTCTGCCATCCAGGGCATCAGAAGAGAGCAGTTGCCCACATTCTCCACCAATTGTTGGAAATGACTCCAATAACAAGAACTTGGATCGGTGAAAACACAGAGATTTTATTTGCAAGCTTAAATCAAAGCATACAAAAGGGAAAAAAGCTGTTTGCAAAGAGTGGTAGGATCTTAGCTTATCTCAACATGAGGTTTGAGCTAAGAACCTCACCTTAAGATTTCAAAACGTACTTTATATACAGTTTCATCTCGTCACCCAAGTTCCTTCCTTCTTTGAGACTCATTCCCTCCCAAGTTCAAACTCATTGGATTTGCCCTCAGGTGTTGCAGCTAATCCTAGGATGTCTCCAGGGAGAATTGTCTCCTTCCATAATGTTCTCATCCATACCCCTCCGTACCTCTTACTTTGGCTGCCCACGTGGCATCTTTAAGGAATGTAGCATCCCCTCATCAGGGCCTCTTTCTAAGCTCATCATATACTACCATTTTTCCAAAGAGATTATAACAACACCCTCCAACATAATAATAATAATATAAAAGGCATAAGATAAAAATATAAAAAGTCTTAACAATGGAGCATGTCAAAATTATAAAAGCAAAGATTTATATACAGGGAGATATATTTCATTTGATAACAGAATAGAATTGGAAGGTACCCCGCAAGGTCATCTAGTCCAACCCCTATTTGTGAAACCTTTAAGCATATTACAGTATATACCATTTTATTTTTGAATTTAGTTATTTCTAACAACATGATCCCCTTTTGCGACCTAGCAAACAACATTGATGGGGGGAGCCAGATTCGCTTAACAACTGGGTTACTAACCAAACAACGGCAGCCATTCACTCAACAACGGTAGTATTTTACAGATTGTAAAATGGGGCAAAACTCCTTTAACCACCATCTCACTTAGCAACATAAATGTTGCACAACAAAAAAATAATTGGATGACAATTCCCATTCTCTGCAGAGCTTTGCCCAGGAAGAAAAATAAAGAGTAGGATGGGGGGGGGGGGGGGGGGGGGGGGGGGGGGAGTCGGGCCTAGGATTGTGCAAAGGATGAAAAAAAAAAAAGGACATGGCAAGGGAGCGAAAGCAAAACAGATGTCTGGAAGCAGGAAAAAGGACAGGGTCACAGCTGCAGATGTTCCTTGGGGGCCAGTTGAGCATCTTGTGGTTTTGGAACAAGGGTGGAGGGGGGGAAAACAAACCAAGATCTTAGTGGGGTTGGGGGAGGTTAGAAAATGAAAGAGACCAGGATCTTAGAGGAGAAATATTATCCTTTCTTGCTCAGCCCTTTTTCTTTGTACAATTTGCCCCCTTGGCCTGCGTTTGTGTATTTATTTTGTTTCTTAAGAACTTAACTGCCTCCATCCTTTGACCAGGTTATGTGGAAGACTCACGCCATCTATCTGCCAAGAAGGGAACAACCACATCTGATAAATCCTGGTGAACGCCTTTTTATTTCCATTTGGGGGAGAGAAACCTTCTGTAAATCATCATCTGCCATTGTGGTGTTAGGCCAGATTGTGCGTGTGCAAATCCTAGCTGGAAAGCTGTGTCATGTGCATCAATCACGCCTCTCGATCCTTTGCAAGAGCAGAGCAGGAAAACAGAAAGGAAAAAGAGACACGGATGCTCCCCCAAAAAGCTCTTTAAGAAGGGAGAAAATAGAAGTGCAAAAAGGAAAAAGGATTCACTTGGAGAAAAAAAAAAAAAGTTTGCAAGCTAATTCCAAGCCCAGCCCAAATCTTTTCAGTTTAACCCTTGCATTAAGACATTCAGCTATATTTGGATCTTATTGGAACATTAAAGATAATCATGTTTATGTAAGTTTCTAAACAGTCTTAAGACATCAAGCCAGTTTTCCAGCTAAGGCTTTTGAAGCCTATTTTTCCATCACTACAAGGTCTTTATTAATGCCGTGGCCTAATTTTAAGAGTCCTGATTTTAAATTTCCCTTTTCAGATATTTTTTCTGGCCTTTTAATTTCTTTTGCAGGTGAATTCTCAAGTCTCATGAAGGAAGGCGAATACAGGTAGACCTTGACTTACGACAATTGAGCCCAACATTTCTGTTGTTAAAATTGAGTTTTGCCCCATTTTACGACCTTTCTGGCCACGGTTGTTAAAGTGAATCACTGCCATTGATAAGTTAGTAACCCAGCTGTTAAGTGAATCCGGCCTTCCCGTTAACTTTGCTTGTCAGGTCGCAAAAGGGGATCGCATAACCTTGGGACACAACAATAGTCATAAGTATGAACCAGTTGCCAAGCATCTGAATTTTGATCACATGAACATGGGGAGGCTACAAAGGTCTTAACTGTGAAAAACAATAGTTAAGTCACATTTTTCAGCACCGTTGTAACTTTGAAGTCACTAAACTATTGTAAGCCAGACACCCTGTATATGGTGCCTGTTGTGTGGGGTGTTTTTAGTTGCTGATTGGGTGTTGATGGCTGTTTATTGTGGATCCTAAGTACTTGATAGTTGGGCCAGCGCATTGTGCAACAAGGTCACATAGTGTAATAAGATTGGGTCTGGGATAGGGACTTCTGTCCTCACTATGAGTTGTGTGTGTGGGGGTGCACGAAGGGAGGCTCAGCCAATCTCATTGTACACGTACTCTGACAATAAAGGTAATAAATAAGCCAGTTGGTTGACAAAGGGCTGTTTCCCACACTTCAATTATTTCCCTGGCTGTTTTTGTCCCTGCTTGGCCAACAATCTTAGTAGCTGCAAAACAGAATAGTCCAAAGCACACACTCTGCTAGAGAAGTTCCCCGAGGATGGGCGCCAGGATGGATCCGAAAGCTCAGAAGACTAAACCTCTGGTTCCAATGAATGACCCAGATTTGATCTCGAAAGTCTTATTTCTTCTGCTTTGCTTAATGTTGGTTTCGCTGAAAAGAGAATAGTATGATGGGCAGGTATAGTTTGTCTGCTGAATTCTGCACTCTGTGCTCCGTATTTGGGTGACCAAACTAAACTCTGGAATTTGTGAAAGCCAAATTAGCCAGTGGAAGTCCCAAAGATGCTTTTTTCAAGAGGCAGCTTGACTTTCTGGTTTTTCTTTTTGCTTCTGATCCAAGAAGCTTCTTCGGCTCTGACTGGATGGTGGGGAATGGAAAGATTTTTATTCCTTGCAGACAAACCTTCCACTCCCCATCTAGTCAGAGCCGAAGAAGCTTCTTGGATGAGAAGTGAAATGTCTTCAAGGAAAAACCAGGAAGTCCAGTTGCCGCTTGAAAAAAAAACCCCACCTTTGGGACAACTATGACTTGGATGATGGAGAATCTCCAGAGACATTCAGCTGGTGGAGCTATTTTGACAGTTAAAAGGCCTGATGAAGGTAGATGGCTCTCATTTGGTGGGTTGGTTCTCAGATCTCAACAGGAAAGCAGAAGAATTTTTTTTTGATCCGTTTCGTTTTACAGTTTTAGTATGATTTTATAGGTTGTTTTAACTTTGGATTGGTAGCCGCCCAGAGTTGGTTAGAAGAGGGGCGGCTTCAGAAATGTTTTAAATAAATATATGAAATATAATACATAGTTCTTTCTGCATAAATACGAACCGTTCAGTTGGGGTCCTTGGTGCTTTCTGAGCTTGGTTGGTTTCCTGCAGACATTTCATGACCCAACTAGGTAACATCATCAGTGCTAGAAGGGAGTGGGGTTTGTTCTCTGTTTATATGCTAGCGGCTTGCCCTATTAGTGTTGGAGGGTGTTCTTGGTGGCTCCTTGATTAGGCTGTTGTTAACTGTTTGACTGTGTGAGTTGTGAGTTCCTTGATTGGGATTTTGTTTACCAAACCCCACTCCCTGATGATTTTACCTAATTGGGTCATGAAACGTCTGCAAGAAAACCAGCAAGCTGAGAGAGCACCAAAGAAGAATCCTCTTCCTCCTCCCTGTCTGCTCTCCCCTTCCTCCTCCTCCACTTCACAAACTCCACTCCCTTCTAGCACTGATGATGTTACCTAACTGAGTCATGAAACGTCTCCAAGAAACCCACCAAGCTGAGAGAGCATCATGGACCCCACATTCCTCCTCCTCCACTCCACATACCTCAGTCTTTTTTAGCACTGCTGATGTTACCTAGTCTGGTAATGAAACATCTGCAGGAAAACTACCAAGCTCAGAGAGCACCAAGGACCCCACAGTTCAACCGTGAGCTACAAATATTCTATAGGCACACCATTTGTACCTATGGAATATTTATAGATCACGGCTGCACTGTGGGGTCCTTGGTGCTCTCTCAGCTTGGTGTCTTTCCTGCTGGCTTGGGAACAAATTCTACCACTACAACTTGCTAGAGGGGGTTTCCCCCTTCCCCTTTGGGCAAACGCACAAGAGCCCTATGCATCAGGGCAGGATTCAAGCATCTTTGCAAGAGGATAGCAAACTATTTTTCCTGCAATGGCGGGGGGCTTCCCATTTTCTGCACCCCCCAAAAGAAGCAGGACAGCAGCTTTAAAACTAACACCATCTCTTTATTATGCTCTCTTTCCTATATCATCAGAAGAATAAAAAAAACATTTTCCCAAAATAAAATACAAATCAACAGGAAGGACACTGGCTCCAGAAGAGGGGAGCAGGAGGGGTCCGGAATCAAACTTATCCCATTAGGGGAAGGGGGGGAGAGCCCTACCACTTTGGCCGCCACCAGCCACACCAGACCCCTCTTGGCCCTTCCAGCAGTGGGCAAAGAAACTCTCTACCCCTCCTTGTTCCTCCTTGCCTGCAAAACTCAGGAGCTTGATTCAGGGAAAGTGCCCCCACCACCAACTCCTCCCCCCCCCCTAAAGGTCAAAAGGAAGGCTGGGGAATAGCTCAGCGGCGCCCCCCTCTGTCCTGTACAGGCGTGCTCTGACTCCGACTGTGGCGGCTTTTGGCTTTGCGCCGTTCACGGTCTCCCCGGCCGCCACATTCACCTGCTCGACTGGCCCCACCACCACTGGTGGCATTGGGGTGCTCGCGTTCTCGCTCTCTGCTGTGTTCCCGCCGCTTGTCCCGCTCAGCTTGGCGGTTACGGTCCCGCTGACGGGCTTCCTCGGCTTCCAATTCTTTGCGCCGGCGTTCCCGTTCTCGAGCACGAGCTGCTCGCTCAGCCTGTTTCTGGACACACTGCAAGGAGAGAAGCAGAAGGGGAAGAGGCTACGTTACGGGCAGCTCTCGACTTACGCGCACAAGTGACTCCAACATTTTGGCTGGTGAGACAGTTGTTAAGTGAATTGCTGCAGGGAGTCCTTGATTTAAAACTGTTCATTTAATGAAGCTATAACGAGTGGCCTAGAGGTGGAGCTCTTGTCTCACAATCAGGAGGCTGTGAGAAATAGGGGAAATAGGCAGATATTTCTCTCTCTGGGCACAATGAGAATATATCTGCTGAAAAAAACTCCACACTGGTGACAGGAAGGGCATCTGGCCAGTAAACACTCAGCTCCACCCCGCAAGGGATTATGGAGTCGTTAAAATATGATTATTTAATGAAGCTATAACAACTGAAAAAAGTGACTTGTGACCGTTTTGCACACTTATGACCATTGCAGCATCCCCCACAGTCACATGATCAAAATTCAGACGCTTGGAAACTGACTCATATTTATGACGGCTGTGTCGAGCTCCGACCTGGAGCTCACCAAACAAGCTGGGATGCACTTCCCCCTCCTTCTGCTGTCAGCTGTCCTACCGCACATCCCGATGTCCTTGCCAAGCTGCCAGCTGCCTTCCTGCCCTTCCTACTCATCCAGACCATGGCGTCCTAGGAACAGTAGAGACAATGCAGTCGGATCACAATGGAATGGGCGGCTTGCCAGACGAGTCGGGTGTCCAGAGCCGCGGGATGCGAGTGTTGCCTGGGGACGGGATATGCAGGCTATGGTGGCTCGCTGGGCCAGTTCAGATTCCCAGCTGACAGGCATTGAAGACGTGAGGCGCCGATTGCTGGAGGGGATTTTAACTACTGGATGGTAGTTACCGGTGCAGCAGAGAAAGGGGAAATAGAAGGGGTGGGGTTAGTATATATAGAAACGCTGGGGAGGCGGATGCCTTACTGCTGGCTTTGAATGGGTCACTACTTCTTGGACTTGCTCGATTTGTAGCACGGAGTAAAGATACTACCGGAACACCTGTTTGGTCTGTATTTATTTCATCTGTTCTACTGCCTGCAAGACTTGCTAAGAGTAGCTGAGAGGCTGCAGTGTCCCAGAGTTATATGATCCCCTTTTGACAAGCGAAGTTAATGGGGAAGTCAAATTCACTCAAAAACCGGGTTAACAACTGCAGTGATTCATTTAACAACTCTGGCAAAGGTAGGTAATAAAATGGAACAACACTTAACAGCTGTTTCGCTTAGTCACATAAATTTTGGGCTCAATTGTGGTTGTAAGTTAAAGATTACCTATAACACAATTGTAAAGCGAATCCGACTTCCCCATTGGCTTTGCTTGTCAGAAGGTCGCAAAAGGGGATCACATGACCCCAGGACACTGCAATCATCGTAAATATGAGTCACTTAGCAAGCATCTGAATTTCGATCACGGGACCGTGGGGATGCTGCAATGGTCGCTATGTGTGAAAAATGGTTGTCACATTTTTTTTAATATGTTTTTATTGAGTTTCTAATTTTCAACATAAAGCATCAGTTTCAACAACATTCTTGACATCTATACACGTTTTTATAAATATCTTAACACATTGTATTTATATTTATCTAATATTAATGAATAACTTTAACTATAATTGTTATTCCTATATTCTTACATAATTTACAAATTTACATTTTACATTCTTAAGGCTTCTTACAATTAAGTTTCTTGTCTTATTTTTTAGTTCTGTTTGCTAACCAATCATACCATTTATTCCAGATTAGGTAATAATCAGAGTCATCTCTTTCTTTCAATTTCAACATTAACATATTCATTTCGGCACTTTCTGTTACTTTTTGTAATATCAGTTCTTCTTTAGGAATATTGGGAGTTTTCCATACCTGTGCAAAGGCTATTCTGGTGGCTGTTGTGATATGTAACAATAAATATTTTATTTCTTTTGGTATTCTATCTTTAATAATTCCTAAAAGGAAGGTTTCCAGTCTGAGCTCAATCTGATAACCAGTAATCTCTTGAAGCCAGTTTTTAATTTGAATCCAGAATGTCCTAGTCTCGGGGCATAGCCACCACATATGATAAAATGTACCGTCAACCTTCTTATACTTCCAGCATTTTGGGCTTGTGTTGGGATAAATTCTTGCCAATCTGGTTGGGGCTAAATACCATCTGTATTTTATACATGTTTTCTTTGTATGCTGAGGATATAGTTAATTTATAATTTTCTCCCATTCCCCTAATTCTATATTGTATCCAAAATTCTGGGCCCATGCTATCATTGTACCTTTCACTGTTTCCTCTTCCATTTTAAAGTCTAGTAAGTATTTGTATATTTTGGTTATAAATTTTTGTTCCGGTCCCATTAAAATTTTGTCTAGTTGGTTTTGCCTTTTATCAAATCCAAAATGTTTCAAATCTTTTTTATATTTATTTTGGATTTGCAAATCTGGCCACCAATCAATTACAATTCTATTTTCCTTTAGCTCTTGATTTGATTTTCCTTGATTATTTAATAATTCCCCATAGGTTAACATTTTCCTTAAATCTAATCTATTTGGGTGGATCATGGCCTCCATGACTGACAGCCACTGTGGTATTTCCATATAATGTTTACTTTTGATTTTCTTCCATGTTGTAATCAGTTATAGTAAATGATGATTAAAATAGGTATGTATATTACTTTTGCTTTCCCACAAAAATGCGTGCCAACCTATCTGGAGGTCATGTCCTTCTAGTGTTAAAATTCTCTTATCTCTTAGTTTGACCCAATCTTCGACCCAATTCAGCACCGCTGTTGATAGTAGAGCTCCCACTCTGGTAGTCCAAGACCGCCTCTGCTCCTGTTATCTTGTAATAGTTTCATTTTGATACGTGGCCTCTTGTCCAACCAGACAAACTTAGATGTCATTTTGTTTAATTTTGTAAAGAAGGGTTTCCCTAGTTTAATTGGGATAATTTGAAATAGATATATTAATTTTGGTAAGGTATTCATTTTCAATGCGGCTATTCTTCCTAATAAAGATAGTTTCAGTTTTGCCCATAGTTCCAATTCTTTCCTAATTTGTTTAACCAATTTAACATAATTATCCTCTTTTAATGATGAACATCTGGGTGATAGCCAAATTCTAAGGTATTTCACCTTCTTTACTATCTGCAGTCCTATTGTATTTTCTAATTCTATTTTCTGCTTTGTTGTACAATTTTTGACTATCATCTTAGTATTATATTTATTTTGAATCCTGCCATTTCCCCAAATTTTTCTATTTGTTACAACAATATTGGTCCCGTGTTTATTGGGTCTTCAACTATAAATGCCAAATCGTTGGCAAATGCCTGAACTTTATATTCCTCATTTCTAATTTTAATCCCTTGAATCTCTGGGTTTTGTCTCGTTGCAGCTAGTAACACTTCTAAAGACAAGATAAATAGCAAAGGCGATAGTGCACACCCTTGTCTCACTCCTTTCACAATTTCAAAATCTTCCGTGCGGTCTCCATTTACCAGTACACTCACTTTTTGATTTGAATATATTTTTTGTAATGTTTTTTCTATATTAGTGTCAAAATTCAATTTTTAAATTTGATATATCATAAATTGCCAATTTAAATTATTGAATGCCTTTTGCGCATCTAGGAAAATTAAAGCTGCCTGTTTTTCTGGGTGTGCTTCGTAATATTAAATCAAATTTAGTACTATTCTAATATTATTTTTGATTTGTCTATTTGGCAGGAAACCATTCTGGTCTGTATGTATAATTTCACTCCAAATCGGTTTCATTCTTTCTGCCAATGTTGTCATGAATATCTTATAATCTGTATTTAGCAACGAGATTGGCAACAAGTTGTTGATCGGTGCCATCTTTGGAGATTAATGAGATGTATGCCTCGGACCAGGACCTCGGGAGTCTAGCTTCCATTAATGCCTCGTTATATAGTTCTAGTAGTATTGGTTCAAATATTTCATGCTCGTTTTTATATAATTCGCCAGGTAAACCATCCGGACCTGGAGTTTTATTGTTTTTGTATTGCCTTTGTAGCTCTACCAATGTTATTTCTTTATTGGGTATTTCTCTTTTTTCTTCAGAGATTGGGCTCAGACCATTTCCCTCCAAATAATATCTAATATTTTCTTCCGTAACTTCTTCTTGCTTATAAAGCTCGCCAAAATATCTTTGCACAATTTTCTTTTTCTCCTCCATCTGATGGCATACTTTCCCTTCCTCATCCTTAAGTGGCTGGATTAGTCTTTTTTCTTTCTCTATCTTTAATTTATGGGACAACCACCTACCTGGCTTATTTGCTGATTCAAAAAAATTGCGCTTAACAGTTTTTAAATTGCATGCATTTTCCTCTGGTACCATGGGGATGCTGCAATGGTCGCTGTGTGTGAAAAATGGTCGTCACATTTTTCAGTGCCATTGTAACTGAAACTACTGGACTACTTGTACATGAAATATTTCTCCAAATATCGGAATTATCTTCCACCCGAAGTTTCTGGATCAGGCAAAAAAATGCACAGTCATCAAATCTGCTTTCCCTAGTGAGTGAAAATCAGGAAGAATCTGGGAACGTTTTTATTAAAATTGCAGCTTGTCATTTTATTAAACTGCAGCTTGCAAAAAAGCTTCTAAAGTGTCTTTTGTTGGAATATGTGCTCCAAGATGCCTGCTGCATTTTTATAACCATCGACAATCACATTTCTCATCTCTCAAAATGCCTATGACGAGAAGTACAGGCGGTTCTCAACATATCAGTTCACTCAGTGACCGTTGGAAGTTATGACAGCACTGAAAAAAAGTGACAACTGGTTTTCACACTTACAACCATTACAGCATCCCCACATGGGATCAAAATTCAGATGTTTGGCAACAAACTTGTATTTATGACGTTCGCGGTGTCGGGGGTCGTGCGATCCCCTTTTGTGACCTGCTGATCAGGAAGCTCGATTCACTTAACCGGGTTCCTAACTGAACTGATACAGTGACTCACTTAACCACGGCAGCAAGACAGGTCGGAATATTGGGAAGAATTCAGTTAACCACCGTCTCACTTAGCAACAAAAGCTCAATGGTGGCCTTAAGTCGAGGACTGTGTCTTGAAAACACCTTCTCATCCTCAGGGCTGAAGAAACCAAGAAACCACATCTTGAGACAACCATGTCACCCTGGCCGGTGCCCGTCCCATCTCACCTGGATGTCCGTGAGGGGTAACCAATAAATGCAAGGGGCTGACTTGGTTTTGCAGAACAGATCATCGAGAAGTTTAGCTGGAGGTTCTTCCTGGGCTTTTTCTATTGGGGAGGAAGATAAGAAAGTTGGTTGTTATTCTGAGTTTTTGCAAAAAAAAAAAGAAAGAAAGAAAGAAAAAAAAAAAGACTGGAGGAGGAGGCCTGGCCTTAGATTCTGCTTTTACTATATGTACAAACAACTCCAGGTGGCAAATATATTTAACACTGCTTCCTCTTCCTGTTTTCCCCAACAACCCTGTGACATGGGTTGGGCTGAGAGGGAGGAACTGGCCCAAAGACATCCTGCCAGCTTTCATGCCTAAGGCGGGACTAGAACTCCCACTCTCCTTGTGATCGGACCAAAGTCACTCAGATGAGTTATGCCTAAGGTGGGACTACAATTCTCAAGTCTCCTGGTGATTGGATCAAAGTCACCCAACTGGCTTTCATGTCTAAGGTGGGATTAGAACTCCCAGTCTCCTGGAGATTGGATCAAAGTCCCCCAGCTGGCTTTTGTGCCTAAGGTGGGACTAGAACTCACTGTCTCCTGGTGATTGGCCCAAGATTACCCAATCAGCATTCATGGCTAAGGTGAGATTAGAACTCATGGTTGCCCAGTTTCTACGCTGGTGCCTTAACCAGTAGACCAAACTCTCTCTCGTTACCTTTCTTCTCTGCTTTCTTCTCCTTCGATTTGGGCCGCTCTTTGCGGCGTTTCTCTCGGGACCGGGAGCGTGAACGGGGCCCCTCGCGCACCTTGTCCCGATCCCACTCCCGTTCTGCCAGGGTCCTCTCCCGGCGCTCCATCTCTCGCTCTCGTTCGGCCCACTGCTCCCGCACGGCCGCCTCCCGCTCCCGTGCCTCCAAGCGCCGGGACAGCTCCCGTTCCCCACGCGTGGTTGGGCCCACCCCGGGGAAGGTGGGCGCTTCATCCGCCTTGGCCTCGGCAGGACGGTCAGCCAGAAGACCACGATGGAAATCCAGCTGAGGAAGAGAAAGGAAAAGCCTCAGGTGAGCAGGTGGAAGCTCTCTGGAATACAAAATTAAAGGATACTTGCGAGAAAGCTAGAGACATTATCTTGTGGTGTCAATTTTACAGGTAGTCCTTGATTTATAACCAGTAACTGAATCCAGTTCCCCCCGCCTTGACTTTGCTTGTCGGAAGGTCTCAAAAGGGGATCACGTGACCACCAGGACACTGCAACCATCATAAACATGAGTCATTTGCCAAGCCCCCGAATGTAAATCACATGACCATGGGGTTGCTGCAACAGTTGTTAAGTGTGAAAAAATGGTCATAAGTTGCTTTTCTTCAGTGCCATTGTAACTTTGAAGGGTCACTAAATGTAAGCCGAGGACTACCTGTATGGCTAACAGCCAGAGAGAACTGTCTTCTGGAAAAAAAAAACCCCATCATTTTTGGAGCATGTATTCCTGTTTCACTTTCTTGCAATGAACTCTGGGTGATCCCCCTCCCCACCTGTCCCACATCTTTCTTCCCTGTTGGGCTCCGTACCTCATCCTGCTCCACAAAATCAGCAGATAAAAACTTGGGGTTAGACTGTGGCCACTTGACCCCATGAAGGGTGTTTCGCGTCACGACAGCTTCTTCCACTGTTGAATACTGAAAGACAATATTGGCGGAAGAGAGAGGCAGAGAAAGGAGAGAAAAACAGAGAGAGAGAGAGACGAGAAAGAGAAAAAGTGACAGGAGAAAAAAAGAGGAGAAAGAAAGGGGAGAGAGGGGGGGGGGGGGGGGGGGGGGGGGGGGGGGAGAGAAAAACAGGGCGAGAGAGAGGAGAAAGAGGGGGGCAGAAAAAGAAGAGAGGAGAATGAGAAAGAGGGGAAAGAGAAAGAGGGGAGAAAAAGACAAAGGGGAGAAAAAGAGAAAGGGGAGAAAAAGAGAAAGGGAGGAGACAGAAAGAGTGGGGGAGAGAGATGTGTTTCCAGCCATTTCTTCCCCCTGCTTCCTAAATCCTGAAGTATTCCTCTTAAACTGAACTAAAGAAGCTTCCTGGATGAGAAGCGAAATATTTTCAAGGGGGGAAAAAACCCAGGAAAACTCAAGCTGCCTTTTGAAAAAAAAGCATCTTTGGGACAACCCTTACCTGGATGATAGAGAATCCCTGTAGACATTCCAGTTAAAATTCCCCCCAAAGCAAAACTTGTTTTAAAACACTCTCTAAATTCCCTTTAAAACCTGGATAGCATTTGGCATCGAGCAGCGTCACAAACAAACCCAGACAATCTGGGATCCTCAGTATAGCATAGCTTTCACCTTCAAAAGCACCTGAGCAGAGCTGGATCGATGCAAAATTCCGATTTTTCTGGAAAGGAGAATTTCTGGAGGAGGTGGAAACCCCAAAGACTCACTGTGACGAAGCAGTGCGATTTGATCTTGTCGATCCAAAAAGCCTCCTCCACCAGGGTGCCTGTCCGGCCCAGCAGCTCCTTCAGCTGCCCCAGGGTGAAGGGCCTCACCTATCCACACAAACATCTGGGCGTTAAGAAAGGCTCCCAATGTCCCCCCAAAAACCTCTGAAATAGTTACACCGTCCCAAAAACACTCACCAGGTTGCAGATGTGAACGATACAGCTGACCTTGCCCTGTGGTGGAGAGGGCACCTGGGCCGTGCGGACGGGATCGTCGATGGTGATGGAGACCCTGGAACACTGCTGGCTGATGGACCGCCGGGTGAGCGTGTCGCTCAGTGTGACTGTGGGGCAGAGACAGAAACTCACACAGGTGAGTCTTACCTGTCAGGGTCAATAGCTCCCAGTCTTCTGATGGTTGTCATCCGTCCTCCCCAGGTACCTTTTTTGACTTCGTGCTCTACCAGGGGAGGCAGAACCACAGTTTCTACAGAGATAACGGGTGCCGACTCCGGCTGTTCTTCCTCGTGGACCTTCTCCTCTTCCTCCTCCTCCCCTTGGCCATTCTCTTGCCCTTTGACGGGGACCACCTGGGAGGGAAGAAGGGTGGGACAGAGGTTTCTCAGCTGAACTTGACAAAACAGCAGGACTGGTGCTGCTCTAAACCCGGTTTGTGGGGAACCCTTCTTCCCCGTTTTTTCTTGATCCGAACATCTTCATGTTTGTTGTGGCCTGTCAGCCGCCGGCCCCTCCAGCAGCTGAATCAGAGGAAGCAGCGGCGGCGGCGTGGGAGTCAGGGTCAGCATCAAGGCAACCTAAGAGCTCCGAGGGGTAAGAGGGAATGGAGCTCTTAAAGAGAGAGAGGGAGAGGGAGAGGTGGAGCCTGGGCTGTCCGTCAGCGCTCAGATAGTCAACAGCCCCCAGGTCTGGAGGTGGCTGATGAAGAAGAGTAACAGCTGGGCCCAGTGCTTAACGCATGGATGCACAGAAGGCAGAGGAGACGAGAGCAGTGGAAATCTATGGAACTGACAGTGAGAACAATCAACAAATGGAACAGCTTGCCTTCGGACGTTGTGGGAGCTTAATCACTTGAGACTTTCAAGAAGAGATTGGACTGCTATTTGTCAGAAATGGTGTAGGGTCTCCTGCTTGGGCGGGGGGTTGGACTAGATGACCTACAAGGTCCCTTCCAACTCTGTTAATCTAATCCAATCCAATCCAATCCAATCGAATCCAAGGGCCAGTAGAGCCTCTGCTGCTAGCGAGGCCCCACCCTAGCTCTGGGGATAAAAGGCAGGGGGTGGAGACAAATAGATGTGGCAGACTGTTAGGGATAACATTGTTTACCCTAACTGGTTTGGGTAAAAATAATAAATAAGTTATCATGGTTTGTTGGTTAAAGTGTGTGTAACTTTAACTACAAGAATGTAATTAAGGGTGTGGTTGTAAAAGCACCATAAAAGAAGCAAGTCAATTGCAGCTCTCTCTCTCTGGCTTAATGATCCCTAATTACTGGATGGATTGATGACTGCGTTTTTCCTTACTGGAACGGAGGAGAGAAAGGAGTGTTGATTTCTCAATGGAGAGAAGAGATAATACGGACTGAGTTATTGTAAGTGAACTGACATTGGCTATTCAACACGGACTTTGCAAAATGAGTATCCCCGACTGAAATGACTGAAATGATACATGACTAATGGACCGTTTATTTTGACTATGCTATAATTCCTAATGGAATAAACTATATTTTTGATAGCACAAGCGTATCTGTTTTTTACTGCGTGTTAACTAAAATACAAACTTATCTCACACATTTACCTGTCTACCTATCTGACTACGCTACACATTCTGTTTAGTTTGTTTTCCTTAACACTCGTTGGGGAATTCAGGCTTAACACAGACAACTATTCATCTTCTGGCCGGACAGGCTTGTTTGCCTGCGGTGAGAGAGAGACATTTTGCCGGGGCTGTTGGCGCTCCTAATAAAGAAATCTTTGAGCTCACTTCAGAGGATTTGTTGTGTTCGGGGAGCTGGGTCAGAACAGTATTGCAAATGAGACAAGGAAGGATCTTCCTCCCTCTTTAGTTCACGGGTATCACAGAATGATAAGATGTTAAATTGAGAATGTTCTAAAGGGTGCCTAGTCTTCATGAGCACGAGAAATACCAATTTTTTTTTTTTGGGGGGGGGGGGTCCTTGGGGCTCTCTAAGCTTGGTTGCTTTCATTTTTTTAAAAAATCTCAATTTTTTATTTTACTCAGAAAATAAAAATATAAAGCAAAACAAAAAAAACTGAACAGAGACAAAACAAAACTAGGCAAGAACATTTTAAAAAATGTGAAAAGGGCAATGGACAAAAACACATTATTATACTCCCTAGTTGAACACTGATGAATCTATTCCGAGAATCATTTTCTCCCTATAATATGTGCATTTAACAGAGAGCTGGAAGGGACCTTAGGGGACTTCTAGTCCAACCGCTTGCTCAAGCAGGAAACTCTACAGGTGAAACTCGAAAAATTAGAATATCGTGCAAAAGTTCATTTATTTCAGTAATGCAATTTAAAAGGTGAAACTAATATATGAGATAGACTCATTACATGCAAAGTAAGATAGTTCAAGCCGTGATTTGTCATAATTGTGGTGATTATGGCTTACAGCTCATGAAAACCCCAAATCCACAATCTCAGAAAATTAGAGTATTACATGCAATCAATAAAACAAGGATTGTACAAAGAACAATATCGGACCTCTGAAAAGTATAAGCACGCATATGTACTCAGTGCTTGGTTTGGGCCCCTTTTGCAGCAATTACTGCAATTAATGTGGCATGGCATGGAAGCTGTCAGCTTGTGGCACTGCTGAGGTGTTATAGAAGACCAGGATGCTTCAATAGTGGCCTTCAGCTCTTCTGCATTGTTCGGTCTCATGTCTCTCATCTTTCTCTTGGCAATGCCCCATAGATTCTCTATGGGATTCAGGTCAGGCGAGTTTGCTGGCCAATCAAGCACAGTAATCCCACGGTCATTGAACCAGGTTTTGGTGCTTTTGGCAGTGTGGGCAGGTGCCAAGTCCTGCTGGAAAATGAAGTCAGCATCCCCATAAAGCTCGTCTGCGGAAGGAAGCATGAAGTGCTCCAAAATCTCCTGGTAAGACGGCTGCGTTGACCCTGGACTTAATGAAGCACAGTGGACCAACACCAGCAGATTACATGGCTCCCCAAATCAACAGACTGTGGAAACTTCACACTGGACTTCAAGCATCTTGTGCCTCTCCATTCTTCCTCCAGACTCTGGGTCCTTGGTTTCCAAATGAGATGCAAAAGTTGCTCTCATCAGAAAAGAGGACTTTGGACCACTGAGTAACATACCACTTCTGTTTTTCTTTAGCCCAGGTAAGACGCTTCTGACTTTGTTTGTTGTTCAGGAGCGGCTTGACAAGAGGAATACGACATTTGAAGCCCATGTCCAGGATCCATCTGTGTGTGGTGGCTCTTGATGCACTGATTCCAGCCTCAGTCCACTCCTTGTGAAAGTCCCCAACACTTTTGAATGGCCTTTTCCTGACAATCCTCTCCAGGCTGCGGTCATCCCTGCTGCTTGTGCACCTTTTTCTTCCACACTTTTCCCTTCCACATAAGTTTTTATTGATGTGCTTTGATACAGCACTTTGGGAACATCCAACTTCTTTTGCAAATTACCTTTTGAGGCTTTTCCTCCTTATGAAGGATGTCAGTGATGGTTTTCTGTACAACTGTCAGGTCAGCAGTCTGTCCCATGATTGTGATTCCTACTGAACCAGACTGAGAGACCATTTAAAGGCTCAGGAACCCTTTGCAGGTGTTATGGCTTAATTAGCTGATAAGAGTGGGACACTTTGAGCCTAGCATATTGAACCTTTTCACAATATTCTAATTTTCTGAGATTGTACATTTGGGGTTTTCATGAGCTGTAAGCCATAATCATCTCAATTATGACACATCACTGCTTGAACTATCTTGCTTTGCATGTAATGAGTCTCATATATTAGGTTCACCTTTTAAGTTGCATTACTGAAATAAATGAACTTTTGCACGATATTCTAATTTTTCGAGTTTCACCTCTATAATAAATGGTTGTCCAATCTCTTCTTCAAAGAGATTTACCTAGAACTAAGGAGAAAGTTCTTGACAGTAAGAACAATGAATCAGTGGAACAACTTGCCTCCAGAAATAGTGAATGCTGCAATACTGGAAGTTTTTAAGCAACCATTTGTCTGAAATGGTATAGGGTTTCCTTCATGAGCAGGGGGTTGGACTAGAAGACCTCCAAGGTCCCTTCCAACTCTATTTCTATTGTTTATATTTCTATTTTTATTATTTCTAATTCTACTCTATATTCTATATTCTATATCTATTCAATTTCATTCTATTTCTATTCTACCCTACCCTATCCTACAGCCTCCAGTGTTGGAGCACCTACAACTTCTGGTGGCAAGCCGTTCCACTGATCAATTTTTCTCACCATTAGGAAATTTCTTAGTTCTAGGTTGCTTCTTTCCTTGATTAGTTTCCATCCGTTGTTTCTTGTCTTGTTTTGGGGTGCTTTGGAGAATAAGTGGACACCCTCTTTTTATGTACAGTAGATTATCAATTGATTCAATGGCAAATCCATAAGGTAATCTTATATTCTATGGAGTTACTAAGCTTGGTTACAGACGTTTCATCACCAACCTAGGTAACCATCATCAGTGTTCCTGGCAAGCTGAATTCAGTCTACACAGAGAGAGAGAAGCAACAGTGGTTCCTCTCTCCCTCCTGTCTTGGTGGGCAAAGGCCAGAGATCTTCGGTAGCCAAACACATTTTGCAAGAATAATTTTAGGCAGGGGGATGGTTGTGTTAAATAAAGGAGGATCACCCTGCAGATAAAGAACCTGACAGCTACGCGAGGTCCTTGGCTCAGGTTTTAGGATATTTTTTAGTTTTTCCCAGTGTCTAAATCTGAGCACTGCAATCAGCATCTGCCTTTAAATAAATAAATAAATAAATAAATAAATAGCATTGTGATTAATGATTTCGTTTATGGGAGATTGGCTGTCCACCACTCCCAAACTGATGGGAGACGAGAGAACAGTAACAAATTGGCTGTCCGGCGTGCACGCAGCTTTGTGGCTCGCAGTTTTGCGTCTGTGTGCCACTTCTGCCCTGGGGACCGATTGGGAGCCATCATTCTCCCACCCCTCAAGCACCAACCTGCATGACGGTACGGCAGATCTTGAGTGCTTTCTCATGAGCTGGCTCTTCCAAGTGGTGCTCGTCTTCGTCTTCGGAGATGCGGGAGTTGTCGGCATGAAGGTCCATCACGGCTTCCTGGCCTCCTGGAGGTGGCTTAAACTCCGGGATCAGGCTCTGGAGGAGAAAGAGGAGGAAGGAGAAAAGCACATCAAGGTCTGATCTTGGCTGTCCCCGAGTCAACTTTTGTCGCGGCTAGCTGGTTACCTTGAGGGACTCGGTGGTGATGCTGATTGAAGGTTTCTTCTGGGTTGTGGCGGTGCTGGAGCCCCAGCGCCGTTTGCGGCCCGCCAACTGGCTTCCTTCGGTATCACTGTTCGTGGCGATGGAGCCTTTGGCCACGGAGGATGCTAAAAGTGAGGGAGGGAGGAAAGGAGTTAAAAACCAGAGCAGTTTCCCCGGGACACGGTTGGGGACAGCTTTGCTCTTGAGGTAGCTTGTATGAGCGAGTCAGTTCACATCCACCTGCTTTCCCTAACCCCCGTGTCGTCTTCTGCATGATCTGACAATACAGGTAGTCCTCGACTTACAACCACAATTGGGCCCAAAATTTCTGTGGCTAAGCGAGACAATTGAGTTTTGCCTTATTTTACGACCTTTCTTGACACAATTGGGGTAGCTTGGCTTTTGAGGTGGCTCGAGTGAGTCAGTTCACATCCACCCGTTTTCCCTAAGCAGCATTCCCTCTTCTGCATGATCTGCCAATACACATAGCCCTCAACTTATGACCGCAATTGCACCCAAAATTTGTTGCTAAGTGAGACAACTGAGTTTTGCTCCATTTTACAATCCTTCTTGCCACGGCTCTTAAGCGAATCTGGCTTCCCCCATTGACTTTACTTGTCAGAAGGTCGCAAAAGGGATCACATGACCCCAGGACGTTGTGACCGTCATAAATATGAACCAGAGGCCAAGTGCCCGAATGTTGATCAAGGTGACCATGAGGCTGCTGCAACTGTCATGTGAAAAATGGCCATCAGAAAAATGGTCATAAGTCACTTTTTTGAATGCTGCTGCAACTTCAAACTGTTACTAAATGAAAGGTTGTAAGCTGAGGGCTATATATTGGGATAAAAAAGAATCTAGCTCAGTTTTTTTCAACCTCTGCCCCTATAAGATGGGTGGATTTCAACTCCCAGAATTCCCCAGCTAGCATAGCATAGAATTCTGGGAGTTGAAGTCCACCCATCTTAAACGGGCGGAGGTTGAGAAACACTTGAGCTAGCCATTTCCTAGTAAAATCACAGCTGCCTTCATTACTACAGGCATTAAATGAACTGTTTCTGCGACCCCAATGCTACGTATAGTAAGTTGGCTGAAGCATTTGGTGCCAAGGATAATACCATTGAAAAAATAACAATATTTTACCAGGCACATCTTTTAAAAATAAAGAAATATGCATCCCATCCAATCAAATGCATTCAGGGAATTGTCCAATTACAACCACAACTGAGCCCAGAATTACATTCGTAAGTTGCCGTTAAAAGCAACCCTCTATGTGATTGTCCCTGTTGTTAGGTGTTTTTTTTTTGCAAACAGTTGTTAAACAAAGCCATTATACTCAACAGGGAATTTTTTTAGCCAGAAATTGGGAAGTAAACACTAGAAACCAGTCAAAAATGGTTTGCCGGATGCTGCAAACAGGAATAAATGCGAGCCGGTAGCCAAGTGCCTAAAAATGCAGTTTGCAGTTCTCGCAAGAACCAGTTGGGTGTGGTGGTCAAGGTGTTGACTCTGAAACCAGGAGACTGGAAGTTCTAGTCCCACCTTAGGCATAAAAACTGGCTGGATGACTTTGGGCCAATCACCAGGAGACTGAGAATTTTAGTCCCATTTTAGGCATAAAAGCCTAAGTCCCTTTTTCCCAGCCCAACCCACCTCACAGGGTTGTTGTTGTGGAGAAAACAGGAGGAAGGAGTATCATGCATGTTTGTCACTTTTTACTTATAAAAGTGGGCTAAAAATCTTTAACAAGCAAACACCTTCTGGGAAGGTCAGTTGTAACTTCAGCTTGTCATTTAGAGAACCGGTCATTAAGTCTGGTCTACCTGTATTTCAGTGTATTTAGTGTATTTAATTTATAACCAGTGTATTTTGACGTATTTAATTTAGTGCATTTAATGTTACTGTATATGCTGTGTATTTAATCACACTGGCCTCCACTCTGGGAATGTGACTTGAGCTTACCTCCCCAAAGCCAAGGCACAGATGGGGCACACACACCCCTTGTGAGTTATGCTAGCACGTTTCCTTCACCTTTCACCCAGGCCTGCAATGGCAGCTATTGGATTAGCCAGCTTTTAAGTGAGTGGGAGTAAAAATTACCCAACAGAGGTTTTTTCAAGGCTACAATCCCTTGCATTCTGCTCCCAAGAGTGACCTTGTCTCTTCTGGGGAAGCAAAGGGAATGTCCACCCTTCCTCCATTCCAGCAGCTAAGCAGAAGACGTGCTCTCCCACTCCTTAAAGCAAAGGTCTCCAACCATGACAACTTTAAGACTTGTGGACTTCAACTCCCAGAATTCCTCAGTCTCCAACCTTTGGCTAAAGATTTGTGGACTTTTAACTCCCAGAATTCCTCAGCCAGTCTCCAACCATGGCGACTTGTGGACTTCAACTCCCAGAATTCCTCAGCCAGCAATGCTGAGGTGAGGAATTCTGGGAGTTGAAGTCCACAAGTCTTAAAAGTGGTCATGGTTGGAGACCTCAGCTTTCAGGAGTGGGAGGTGAGACTCCAGAGCACCTCCAACCTTCCTCAGATGTCTTACCAGGTAGTCAAGGGAGGGTTGAACTCAATGGGTGGACAACCTGACCCTTTTACTTACAGGCCACGGAGATCTTCCTCTTGAAGGCCTTGGGCTGAGCTGAACCCTGTGGAGAAAGGGAAGGAAGAAGGAAAGGGCAAAAGATAGAGACGGGGGGGGGGGGAAGGAGGGGGGAACAGGAGGACAGACAAAGAAAGAAAACCCCGTGTAGAGGGGGAAGTCAAGTCAATATTGAGGATTTGGAAAGTGGCCGTCGCATCTGAGGGACATCTAGGGGTGGGGGGAGAGAAGGCCTAAATGGAGGAGCCCAGATGAAGTGGGGAGGGGTTAGAGTTAGGATCTCCTGCTGCCTCGGCAATGAAATGGAGAGGGGAGAATCCTGCCTCCCTAACTTTGCAAGACCACGAAATCTGCTCAAGTTTATTTGCACACGGTTCCTGCCATCTAGGGATGTCCACAATTGGAGTGGCATCCCTGGAAGCGGCCCTCATGAGGACTAGAAACCCTGTTAGAACTTTTTTTTTTCTATTTGGCCTTTTGGGAGGTCAAACAGAAAAAAAAATGTTCCAAAAGGGTTTCTAGTCCTCACAGGTAGGAGAAATCGAAATGGTTCTGTGGAGTCGGGTTGTTTCCTTGTAGACTTTTCGTTGCCAATCTAGGTAATGTCATCAGTGTTAGAAAGGAGGGAGGTTTGCAATAGTTCAACCCTGAGCTATAAATATTCTCTTTGATGGGTGTAAATGTTTCCAGAGCTAAAACTACTCCAGGGATAGGAAATATTAAGGAAGAACGACACACCTTCATCTAAGACTGAAGTCCACATCCCACTAGTGACCAGTGGGTAAAACACACACAGCCTTGTTAGTTGCGGCACCAAATTGAGGAACAACTACCACTTCTACTCAGATTCCCTTTTTATTTGGAAACAGGCAGTTGATTTTCATGATTTTAGCAATATTTTTAACAGGCAAACTATTGTTTTCATACATTTGCTCCAGAAAGGTTTTAATTAAAAAAAAAAAAAAAAAGAATTCCATGGTTATTTTTCCTGCTTTTAGAAGTTTCTCCTCAGTGTTTATTTCTGTATTATGGAAACAAGACTAGATGCTTTTAATGAAAAAAATAAGGAAGCCGCAGTGACAGCAAAGGCTGAAGTTGGTGGAGGCCCAAACCCTTGGGTCTCAGCTGCATGGGACTACATATACCATTATCCCCAGCCAGCCTACCCTTTCCTGCACTGACTGGAAATGATGGGAATTAAAAGCCCACACAAATGTAGGGGAAACCCATCACTAGCAATTCTTTAGTATATCCTGTTTCTTTTTTTAAATTGAAATATTTTTGCCTGTATCTGTGTATCTCTCTCAATAAAAAAATCCAGAAAGTGAGCAAAAATAAAAATGGTGGGTTTCCGTTACGTTATATACAGTATATATAAAACCTTTCAAATACAGCTTATCCATTTTGAAACAAGGAATCAAATGACGTCAGATTATTTGTCCTGCCAATGGATATATTAAGTCGATGCAGGCCAGCAGGCAAATAATACCAAGCTTTGATGGATGGGCTAGAAAAGTTCATTAAGACAGGCCCATCAGCTCATGATGGTGGTGGGGAATAATAAGAATAGAGAAGCAGTTGTGAATTTTAGCCATTTTAACCCTTGGAGTAGGTTCAACACAATAGACATGTTTAAAAATCGGGCCTTTTCATCCCTCTGGTATTTTGGAGAGATTTTACTCAGCTGCAACATTTATTCAGCTACAGGAGATTCTTCAAGTAACCCTAATTATGTCTTTCAGAGGTGGGGAACTATGGCCCCTTTATGACTGGCGGACTTCAACTCCCAGAATTCCTGAGTCAGCATGGCTGACTCAAGAATTCTGGGAGCTGAACTCCACCAGTCATAAAAGGGCCATAGTTCCCCACCAGAGTATAGGTAGTCCTTGACGTACAACAGTTCACTTAGTGACCATTCAAAGTTATGGCACTGAAAAGTGACTTAGGACCATTTCTCACACTTATGACCGTTGTAGCATTCCCTATGGTCACGTGATCCAAATTCAGATGCTTGGCCACTGACTCATATTTATGATGGTTGCAGTGTCCCGGGTGTGTGTGTGCCATGTGATCCCCTTTTGTGACCTTATGACGAGCAAAATCAATGGGGAAATAAGATTCACTTAACAACCGTGTTACTAACTTAACGGCAACGATTCTCTTAAAAACTGTGGCAAGTCGTAACACGGGGTAAAACTCAATAAATTTCTCACTAAGCGACATAAATTTTGAGCTCCGTTGTGGTCGTAAGTAGAGGACTACCTATAGTTGAATGAGATACTTCCTGACAATTAATCAGTGAAATGGCTTCCCTCCAGAAGTTGTGGCTGCTCCATCACTGGAAGTTTTTAAAGAAGAGATTGGATGACCATTTGTTTGGAATGGTATAGGGTCTCCTGCTTGAGTAGGGGATTGGACTGGAAGACCTCCAAGGTCCCTTTCAACTCTGTTATTCTTGATGGCTTGCACAATTCCAGATTTTCCCACCCTCAAAGAACTGTTCCTTTCCCAAGCCTGGATTTGCACAAATCCAGGTGGGAAAGTGATCTGGAAAATTCCTTCTGTCTCAGGCCAAATTATTTCCACTCCTTCCTGGCTCTGCTTTCTGGCATGGTGGATTTTTTGGGTGGGAATCAAAGGAAGCATTTTGCAAATCAGGCTAAACTCTAATAAAGGAGAATATTTGTAGCTCAGGGTTGAAATGAGGGGGTGGCTCTCTTGAGGTTGGCTGATTTCTTGCAGTAGTCAGTCCTCGACTTATGGCCGCAATTGAGCCCAAAATTTCTGTGGTTGAGACATATGTTAAGTGAGTTTTGCCCTGTTTTACAACCTTTCTTGCTACAGTTGTTAAGGGAAGCCAGGGTAGATTTGATTTAAATCAAGTCGATTTAATCGATTTAACGTGGTACATGTTATCTCAGCTTGCAGAGCTTGGATTCGTGGAATGCAGTTTACAAAAAATGTAAATATTGCAGAATATATATAGCTTCGTGCTACATCACTAAGCTCCATTTCATGCTGAATAAACTAAAGTATGAATGTATCTCAAATAGAAAACTATATTTTGGTATTTTTATTCCAAAAGCATTTTATTAAAATAAATTTGATAAAAATAAAAAAAATCCAATTTAAATTTTTAAAAAATATCTGAAGTAAAAAAATAATCAATTTTTAATTTTTTTGTAATCATCAATTTTTATCCACCGAGGGAATTACTGCAGTGGTTTAACTCAGTAACACAGTTGTGAAGTGAATTTGATTTCACCGTGTCAGAAGGTCACAAAAGAGGATCACATGACCTTGGTCTGACATATGAACCGGTTGCTATGTATCTGAATTATGGCGTGATTATGAGGCTGCTGCAAAGGTTGTAACTGTGAAAATTGGCCGTAAGTCATTTTTTTCTGTGCTGTCGTAACTTTGAACGGTCATTCAACAAACAGACTGATCAGGTTAGCTAGTCTGGGTAAGGAAACGTCTGCAAGAAAGCAACCAAGCTCAGAGAGAGCACCCAGGCTAAATTCTGGCAACATACACAACAAAGATTTGTAGTCCATGAGGCTTTTCACAGGTCTACATCATCTTTGACCCCACTCTGTGCACCCAGGTGGGGGTCACAGCGGCCACTGAGACCCAGATATTTGCATTTCTGTAAAAAATGTATTTTGCTCGTTCCTCACTTTGTGGGTCTTCTCCCTTTTCTGACCCTGTTTTATTTAGGCCAGCCCCGCTCCCCCCCAAGCAGTGGGGTTGGACTAGAAGACCTCAAAGGTCCCTTCCAACTCTGTTATTCTCCACTTCATGGCTGAACAGTGGGTGTCCCTGGAATGGGGCAGGTGAATGGAAACCAGGTGCCACCCCAATGGTCAACACAGGGATCACTTTGAGCGAGGATTTTTGGGAGGGGGGTAAACCCAACTGAGCTGACACACCTAAGCTAATTCCCAAAGTCTCCCCCATCATTTAAGAAACAAAGAAAGCTGGGGGGAGACCCCTCCATTTAAAACCATAACGGGACCCATCCATCCACCCACCCCGCCCCCAAGCAGTTCCAATTCTCCCTTTCTCTCTCTTTTTCTATTTAAATTAAGAACACAAAAACAAGAAAACTTAAAAAAAATAAAATTAGGACAAGTGCTCCAGGTACCCTCTCACACCTGGGGCAAGGTCTTCTGTTCAGCCAATCACACCTCAGTGTGTGTACGCTGTATCTAGGCAACGGCTGGTCCAATTGGAAAGAGCCCTCCCTGGCCTGAAAGGTGCGTGGCTTGGTTGGGCTGGGTGACAAGAGAGGTGATGATTGGTTGGCGGGTAGGTAGGTAGGAACCTAGCGCTTGATTGGCTGGTGGTCGGAAGTCAAAGTGTCTCAGAAGAGAGAGGGCAAGACAGAAGTTGCCCCCCTCACGCACAAGGGCGGAAGTGTGTGGGGGGTCATCACGAGGGTCAAGGCATCAGTCAGTTCTCAGCAGGCAGACCATCGGGACAGCGGGATGTGGCACTGTCCCATTCGTGGCGGGGGCTCTTTTTTTAAGTGAAAAGTGTCAAAATTCACAACGGGGCAGACATACCGATGACAGGTGAAACAGGTTAACCAGAACAGACAGTCCTTTTTTGTTTTGGAAGAAATAACACACCGCAAGGATGTCCTCTGGGGTCTGTGGGACGCTCCGCACACCAAGTCCTCTTAGGCGACCCTCAGCGCATACCCGAAAAAGGCCACAAACAGGTCCTTCGTGGCACTGGCGGGAAGAAAGCAGGACTCGTGGGAGGTCAGTGAAACGGGTAGAAGACCTCTGCATATCCGCAGCGTTAGGGAGGACAGAGGAGCTTCTCCCCAAATTCTGGAGCCCAGTCTCAGGATTGGCAGACGGACGTCGATCTGGCGTCAATCTGGCTCCTAGGGATTTGGAGATCGGTGACTGGGAGCGGGGGGATGGGATGACGGACTCCCCCCTTGGCGGATGGAAAAGTCACTCAGGCACCGAAACATCTCCCAAATCAGGGAAGATGGCGGGATCCTAGGAGCAACGGGATTGGTGACAAGATCCGGGAGGATTTGGATAGCTCTTTTCAGGGCAATTCATCTCGTGTCAACGGAAGCCTTCCTTGTGACGGTGAAGGAGATGTGGCTTCAAACTTCCCCGGGCAGGAGACAGAAGAGGTTGACATGTTGTGGGACATCTTTTGGACACCTCGTTCCGAAGGCTGGAGGAGTTTTGACCAGGTGGCCTTCCAAGAGCAGCAGCTGCAGCTGTCACAGATGGTGGAGATGAACAAGGAACCAGTTGAGGTGCACCATCAAGTTTTCAGACCCACAAAGGAAGACCCACAGAGTAGGTGGGACTCAGAAAGGCAAGTTTTCTCTGCACGGCTACGGACGTTGAGAGGACTTTCCCACCAAGCGAAGGCAGAAAACAGTTTCAGGAAGGGCCAAGTCAACCATCTTCAAAATCTCTCTTTGTGGTTTTTTTCCCTGTCCAACCTCCACGGATGTCCGGCTGCGGCCTGCTCAAATGTGTCCACGCTCTCTCTCTCCAGTTCTCTCTCTCTTTCTCTCTCTCTCTCTCTCTCTCTCTCTCTCTCTCGCATTCCCAGGAGATTGATGCCTCTTTAAAATGGGATTCAGAACAAACGAGTCCAGAGGAGAACATCAACGGGGGAGAGGGGTTGTGTGGGGTAGCTATCTTTAGGGTGAGGGGAGAAGCAAGGCCTGTCCCCACCCACCCCCCTTCCTCAGCAGCACGGAAAAGCCAGGATCTGAGTTGTGAGTGCAAATATGTACGTGCGATTGCACAAATGTATTAAATCCCCTCCCCCCACAAGACCTCCCAGCGCCCTCCTATCACAAAACCCACTCACACCCTCTTTATACAACACAGGGGAAAGAGGCCAATTCTTTACAGGTGGAAGGCGGGGGGAGACAAAATATCAGCAATGGCCAAAGGGTAAACCAAATATTTGCAATGGATCTAGTTTAGTAAACCACCACCACCACACAGACAAAAAATTAAGCATGCCAGTATGAATTAATAAAATTATAGTCAAATGATTGTTTAATAATGATATCACGCTATATAATTGTTGATTGATAATATGAGCTATTTTGTAATACAACTACAATGGAGACTATGAAATGGATGCACACAAAAAAAGTGGTAAACCAACCGATACACTGTTTGTAAATTTATGAAGGATGATGATGCTTTTATGCTTTATGTCTTATGTTTTATGTGTTTTTGTTTGTTGTTAAAACAATAAAAAAAAAATTCAAAAAAAAAAAATTAAGCATGCCAAAATATGCTTAAGAGCAGGAATCCTGATTATGGGATCGGGCTTTTTTCACTGCTTTGAAAAAACTCAAACCAGTTTTGCCTTAAGGCAGGGTAAATGGGATAAGCACCAGGCTGAGAATGCAGATTCTGCCTCCAGACTGGACAATAAAAAAATCAAAACACCAAACACCTCTGGGATTCTGAATTCCATGTCAATATTCAGTATTTTCTCTTATTTGGGTATAATCTGGCACTAAATTGGGACATGAATGCAGTATTTGCTAGCCAAGAAAAATTTAAAAAGGCAAGAAGTGATTGTTTCTCTCTGCTAGCCATTGGTACAGTATTTGTCCGCTTTAAGACATGTGGACTTCAACTCCCAGAATTCCTCAGCCGGCATGCTTTAAGGTGGGTGGATTTCAAACCCCAGAATTCTCCTACCAGCATGCTTAAAGGTGAGTGGACTTCAAATCCCAGAATTCCCCAGCTGGCATGCTTTTAAGATGGATGGATTTTGACTTGCTGGCTGGGGAATTCTGGGAGTTGAAGTCCACACATCTTAAAAGGACTACAGTTGAAAAACATGACACCGAAGGCTTATTTCTTGCTTCTGCTCATTCTCAGCCTGATAGGCCTAACCTATTTTCCAACTGCAGTGGTTTATTTTGTAAAATTAAGGTGGGTGGGTGGGTGGAAAAATAAGATTTCCCCCAAGCACACCCAAGTGGAAATTCTCAGGAAGCAGAACTGTACATGCTTGGAAAAAAACCCAGTGAATTGTGGTGCACCCACACTCCCCTGCCTTCAGGATCTCCTTGCACGAAAAAGTGGGGGATTTGGGGCGTCAAGTCCCTAGTGCAAAGATTTTGCTGGGGAGCTTAGATCCCCCCCCCGCCTTTCCTCTGTTCCCATCACACACACACACACCCCAGGGTAGTGCTGAATGGCCCTTCATCTGCCCCAAGAAAGCCCCACCCTCCCCAGCCGCTCATATGGATACCCCCTAGGGCCCCCTGCCTCTATGCTGAAGGGCACCTCCCAACACGCTACCTCTTTCTTCTCATCTTCGGGACCTGCTTCAGGGCCTGGGGGGTCTGTGGAAGGCTGATCCTCGGGGCCACCGGGCTCCAGGGCCTCATTCTCCGGTTGGGGCTCCGACAGCTCCATTGGCACCGTCTGCTTCTCCTCGCTGCGTAGAAAGAGGGAGAGGGCATCACTGGGGGAGGAGGGCAGGGGAACTGGGGGTCACTAGGGGACAAGAGAACCTCACTTTTATTGGGAAGGGCAGCAGCCTTTACAAAAAGAGGCCTCAGGGAGCCTCTGCCCCATATAGCAGGGCCCACTGCCCCAAGAAAGCCCTGCCCCATAGCAGCGCCAACTTCCGTTCATTTCTTTCTTCACGGTTACGCGCTGCACCCTTCCCTTCATTGCAGCCCATCTAAAGGTCACTTCTCAGTCCCTGAGCATCCTTGGAGTATTGTTCCCCCAACTCTAGAGTAACACCTCCTCTCCTCCCCCCCAGACAGTACAAGAGAAGGGCCTTTCTTTCCCTGGCCGAAGGGCTGGCTGCAGGCTGCCCCATGTCCAAACAAGGGGAGGAATCAGAATACGAAGGGGAAGGGGGGAAGGCACCCAGACCCCCAAATGGCCCCTTTTCCCAAACCACCCACCTGAACCTTCCTTCATGTAGCATATTCCATCCCCGGTCAATTATACCACTGCCTTCTCATCTCAGAGGCCCCCC